TATAGTATATAGTAGTATATATATAATAAATAATATATATAATCGAGAAGGAAAAATGCAGTTAAGCTGCTGGAAAACATGGTGTAGCCATGTGCAGAGATGCGAGCAAGTATTGCCCATTTTGATGAAGGAATAAACAATAAAAAAATAATTCATATTTAGTCATTTTGAATTATATGACAATATATGTATAAAAGGAGAATGTCCTTCTTTTATACAATAAATATATATCGTTAGATTTAGAGCACCTGATATCCTTTCAATATTTGTAGTACACGTGTTCATGGCGAAAATCATTGACATTGGTCGATTTATCACATCGCTTTGATTTATTACACTTACTTGGTTACGGTTAATTACGAAATTATCGAGACCGGTCATTCGATACGGGACCGTAACAAGAAAGGTTAGGTAGCAACATAAAAACCGCAGGTAAAAAGGTAGGTATAACCACATTCTTCACCTTGATTATTTTACAACATGGATGTATGACGCAATTCCGTTTCATTACTACCTTTCTTATCGACAGAAATGTTTTTGAAACGGGTCGCCTTACGAAACCCTATTGATAGACATTAAAAATTTGAACATTTTGGGTGTTAAAAATCTCTTTTTCGAGAAAAATAATTGTGGAATTGACTATTATTTAAATTTACTTGGTAGAGATACCTCAATCAGAGTGGCAAAAGTGCTTCGACAATTGGTTCAAACGCATGCAAAAGTGTATATTCATGGGGGATATTTTGAAAAACAATAAAGTGATTTTTCATGATTAATATTTGTTTTTGTTCCAGGCAACCTAGATATGCTAAATAGGATAGATACATAATACACTGTATGAGGTGTATATCTTATTGAGTTTCCGTTAGAAATTAGAACTGGAGGAGTAGATTTATCAGAAAATATCTCATATCTCTTTGAAGATGATCACTTGGTGATCGAAGCACGTGTCGACGTGTTGAAAATAACGGTTTGGTGTTGAGATAAAACTCCAGTAATATTCATTACTACACCAAAGGTTCCAAACAGTGCATCATAAGAACACAAATGATTATTTGTTTTTCATATTCTAATAAACTGGTACTTGCCATAGAAATACTTTCACCTATTGATATTGGATTTAACTCAATATTGTTTTTTGATTATTTTTGAACATTAACGACATAAATATTCCTATCACTGCACAGCATATTTTCGTAACACATTTTCAGTCTAAACAAACCACTTTTATTAATTTTTTTTCAATGACCAATATTAAACGACATTACTATAGATATAGTTATTTGGACGCTAGTCAAATAAAACTGACATATTTTATTTCATTACACGACCTCTAAAATCAATGTCAGCTGGTTCTTCTTAAATGCTGCATTTTATTCTTGGCGTAAACGAACCACTTTTCTTAATTGTTTTCCAATGACCAATATTACACGACATAAAACTGACATATTTTATTTTCATTACATGACATCTAAAATCATGTCAGTTGGTTGTTCTTCAATGCTGCATTTGATTCTTGGCGGCGGCAAATATATATTCGCGAAATCAATTTGATTTTAGAACAGTTATATTAGTGTTTTGGAATTGTAGTAAATATACCATACAATAAAATAGTTGGGAAATTATCATTGAAGTAACAATATGGTAATGAAAATAAAATATTGTTTGAAAGCATTTTAATAAAATAACTCCATTAAAGTTACAAGAAACAGTTATAAAATAAGCTTGAAATAGTTTTATAACTATCATAAAATTCTCGCAGAAAAGTGCTAAAATCTGCAAGCTTTTCTGAGTTCAAAACTATTTATAGAATGCGGTCCTCACATTTTGCCCACTCAACTCCATATAGCGCCCGCTCTATATCATCTTCATCAATTATAAAATACCCCTTCATTATCTCGTCGTTCGGGTCACGAAAATTGAGATTTTTTTCGTCTGGCACTCAAAGCGAATAATTTACTCAGTCACGAGTGATTCACAAAAGAATTCCCTACCTGAGTATGGCCTTAGGCGATGGATTTCCAGTTTATTTGTAACCGGCATCTTTGCAAAGTGGCATGTCTTATGTTGACGTTTTAGGGATTCTGCTTTTGATTTCTTTTAATGCCCACTTTAGGAGATTCCAGTTACTTTCGCATTGCAATAAAATACCGTTCCTAGTATTTATTTTACGGAGAATGCAAAAGGAAACCCAACAATGTATTTGAACAGAGCCGGCGTTAGGTGTTCTGTCGCTTACAATTTTTAGTCGATGTAGTCAACAGTGCAAAGGAGTGCAACAAGAATGTATTATGAAACTAGAAAAAACTGGTTCTGGAGCATTGAAAAGAATGTTTTGATATAAAACATTTATAGCCGCAAGTAAAATCGATTACTGGCCTCCCGATGCATGCCGTGGCGAAGGGTCGCAATGCGAAAGCGACTGTGTGATTCTCTTGTCACTGGTTCAGCGTTACGATTTCTTACTCGTCACACTGAGCTCGGATACCTATAACATTGTAAAAATCAACCAGTAAGTCCATTCCCACTACTTTCATTCATAAATTCACAAAGTTCTCGGTGACCTTGAAACGAAGTGCGGAGCCAGTTTCGTTCTTTAATCATAGGCGTGCGAAATTAAAGATATTATAGAAGATTTTGTGGTAAGTTACTTGAAACCGCCTTAGTTATCGATTTCCTTGAAATGATAAGTATTTGAATTAATTTAAGACACTTCTTTCAGATATTGTTATTACTCACGAAAGTATGTTTGTCAAGTTGACTCGACTACAAAAATATTTTGCAAGATCTCCATTTGAACCAAGATGAGGTAATGTTTAAATCATGGATTTCCTGGTAGATGGATAGATAGAAAAAGAGCGATTGAATACTTACCACGTCTGATCTAACATATCTGTGTTATTTCTTTATCGCCATTTGAAGTAGCTCATCTTCCAAACAAACCTTCAAGATTCAGCTGCATCAAACAAAAACAATGCTTTTTGAAAAGAAACCCAAAAAAGGAGTTTCCAAAATATTGGGGAAGCATTTCATGGCGGTCTTTAATACTTTTTGAAGATAAATGGACAACTTCTTGGACATTTAATAAAACTAACTGTTAGTCACATACAAATTTTTATTACAACAAAGGTGATTACTATTATACTGTAATCAACTTCACGACAAGGTCCTTGAAAACAGAAACACGATTCAGTTACCTGAACATAAATTGAAGAGGGTTGCAATAAGCCAATAATAATTACGACTAATCATAATCTATCATCTTCAAATAACTTTGTTAACAATTTATGTTAATAGGTTATTAGTACATGAGATTTTGTGGGGTCCTGCTTTAGGATTATGCCTCTATAACGACTGTGTGAATTACAAAGAAAAAATATTTTTTAAAAACTTAATCTAGGTTAGTGAATTATATTAACTTATTTCTAAGGGTTTATAGTTAGGTTAGTATGTACAATGAGCTTATTCTGGATTAGTAGGGTCAGAGTGTGTTTTGTCATGTTCCTTGTACATCGCGGTTCTTGTTCCTTATGTGGATGGTGTTGTCCTTGATGGAGTTGCGGCGAATGGTCCGGGTACAATGACTTGTGGTCCTTCGGTGGGTTCAGATACGGGTATGCCTGGGGGTTAATGGGAGCTGAGCAGAACTATTTGACTTCACTATCTGGATCGCCAGCGAAAGCTCATCAATGATGTCCTGGAACCGCTCCGGGATATCCTCCAGGTATCCTATGAGCCTGGCAGGGGGAACGGGAGCTTCTTCCTTGGGATCTTTTTGGAGCATCCGCGGGGCATCTAGGGGGTGGACAGCGTCTCGATAGGGGTGATGTTGGTTCTGCTGAGTGTTCTGGTGACGTATTGAACTTGGAGTTCCTGAAATCTCAAGTTTATCGGTGTTAATTTCACGGTGTTACTACAGTTCATTGAAAGAGAATCGGAAAGGGAGGATGTGAATGTTGCCTAATATAATATTCTCCTCTCAGTGGTTTGTATGTGGTGGAATAGTCTCGGGAAGATCGCGCAGTAGATTACGGCTTTATAGTCCAGGATGTGTGCGGTACAGTTTTACTGGCGCATCTTCTGTCCAGGGTATCTCTTACGTCAGTTTCCCAATTGAAGATTCTCGTGAAAGTAACCCCCGAGTCGGCCATCGAATTTCGTAGTGGAAGGGGCTCTCCTAAAAGTCTGAGGTCTAAGTTTGGGTCGGGTTGTGATGTTTGAGTGTCTAAAAAGGTTAGTGTGGGTTTTCGTCGGGTTGATTTTGGTACGCCACTTGAAGTACAAAGTGGTTTATCATGTCTTGTGTTTGTAGTAGGCGGTTGTTCGGTGCAGAGGAGTATAGTATCGTGTTGTCTGCAAATTGTGGGATTCTCTGGATAGTGAGAGCGTCGTAGACATTGACTAAGAATGAAATGGGGGCTAAAACAGAGCCCTGTGGGACTGTGGGGGATTTGGGTGTTAGGGGAGAAGATAGTGTGTTACCGATTCTGACTTGGATTTGTCAGTTGTAGAGATAGGAGGCTATTAGCCTGATGAAGTGGGGTAGAAGGTGTATTTGTATAAGCTTCCAGATCAGGCTCGCGTGTCAGACCTTGTTGAAAGCTTTTTGTATGTCTAGAGGACTACGACAATGTCGAATGAGTTCATGTTTTATGTGCTGTGTGTGTGCAGTTCGATGAGAGCGTTTTGAGTGGAAAGATCGCGTCTGAAGCCGTGTTGGTGTGGGGGATTGATGTTATTTTCGTGAAGGAAGTTGTTGAGTCTGTTGGTTAGGTCTGTTGGCTTGGGAGGCTAATTGATATGTAGGATTCAGGTTTGATGGGATCTTTCGGTGATTTGGGAGAAATAATGGTGTTGACCTGTTTCCAAACAAACACCTACTAGGCGGCTAGTTTCAGGCAGACGTCTAGGATAGTTTCAGGTAGGTTCTTTGGGATTCGGAGATTTAACGAGATAATGCTAACTGCAGATTCAAATGACAAATCGACATACTCCCTGATCAGGCGATCAGCTGTGTTTACCTTGAGCTTGCGTTGGAAATGAATATGAATAGTATCAATCATCCAGTTTATTGTTCCTCAAGCCAGACATATACAATGGTTCGATGTTAGATTTAATACTTCCAGTAGAATAGTTTTCGTGTTCTCTGAGATAAAAAAGTACATTAAACTTGACAAATTATCAGGGTCATCGCTTTCTAAACTTCGAACCGTCTGCATCAGTTTTGTTGATGATATCACTGATTGGCTTTTTTGTTATTCACAATTTCAATTAAATGAGCTAGCTATAATTAAGTAGAAAAAATTTCAAGGCATCCTCATTAAACAAGTTTTTATGGATTCTCTTAATCCGAATAGGAAATTCCGACTCAGGCCTTGACCACTTTTTGCTCTCTCTTTTAATTTATGCTAATATTGTTACATAAATTTACCATATCATTTCAGAAAAGCGAGAGAAAGGAAGTGCTTTGTTTGCAAGAAATGCGATAAAAATGTAATTACATAGGTATAACGTTTCACATAATAGTTATGGTTTTGATAATATTGGCGCTAAAACTACCAGTTATACAGGAAATTCGCACATTCCACCACATCCTGTATGTGTGTGTCGAGATTCAAGAAAACATGTGACTGCATTGGTAGTTATTCGATAAGAGAAGACCGCAATCTACAGCATGCTGATTAAGTAATCAAGTGATTGCATTATTTATAGAAATTATTTCGAGGTCGCGAATATCAGACAAGGAATAATTTTCTAAGAATATCCGTGACCAAGAAAAAATCCAAGGATAATTCGAACACCCTAAGGCTTGTTCCACACGTATGAGGTTTGTTACGATTTGGTTCGTCTTTGGTTGCAACCGGAGGGTTTAGTTGTAGCAAAGTTGTCAGTTGATATAATACGAAGGGAGATATTTTGTTCTGCAATAAGGTTCCCAAAAAACACAGAATGCAATGATTTCGAAACGATTAATTTTTCAAAAAACGTTCTACGAGAGACAATATAACTCTTTTTGACGTTCCTGACTGATAATACGTATACTGCATTTCCATAGTCTAATGTGATCTAAATTGATTTGAAATCCCTGAACGAATCTATAAATATTTAAAAGATTAGCTGAAGAATAACAATTATATCAAGTAAAAGAACTTAAATTACAATTAGATAAAAATACAAGCAGCAATTAAAAATTGAACTATTACTTCAAGACGTTTCGATTGTTAGTGTTCACAATCATTTTCGGCTGAGATCTGACTATTTATAGGTCATTCGAGTGCTTTCAGCTATCCCCTCTTCCCCCT